TTTTAAATTTAAACTTTTTTTTACTTTTTAAAACAATCGTGAAAATTAATTTGCTGATTACTAAATCAATGATTTAAATTAATTAAGGTACAAGTAGGATTACGTAAATTACCTTATACTAAATAATTCTGTCACATGAATCATCTCATACTATCAAATCCACCAAATAAATAACTTCATACAATTTAAACAAAAAAAAAAAATCACCTCGTGCTAAACAATTCGGTCACGTAAATGTCAACTCCGTCTTGTCATCTTGTACTACCAATTCGATCACGTAAATCACCTCACGTTATCAATTCCGATGTGTTAATCATCTCGTACTAACAAACTCCATCATGTAAATCAACTACGTACTAACAAACAAACCTTATCACGTAAATCACCTCGTACTGACAAGCTCTGGCACGTAAATCAATTCGTATTAATAAACTCTGTCACGTAAATCAATTCGTACTAACAAACTCTATCACGTAAATCATCTCGTACTATTAATTACTAGCAACTCTTTCACGAATCATACATATTAATCTCAACATTTTTTTTTTTCTCCTAATGAAAATTTGGAATTAAACAACGTCATTTCTACTAACTAATGAAAGATCTTTTGATGGAAGGATGAAAAAGGTTGACAGAAGTGGTATCAGTGGAATTAATTTGATAGATAAATGATATGGTATCAAAGCATAGACATTACATTTTGTAATTGTTGAAAACAGGTTTATGAGAAGGACATCATTTTCACATGAAGTGTTCATTCATACTATATGTGAAATATTTCAATTTTGGAATTTATCAATTATCATTTCGAAAATTTATCATTATGATAATGATTTCCGTTCAGTCATACAATTAATCATTTCTTAAATTCTATTAATTTTAGGAACAAAAAAAAATGGACTGAAAACGAAATAATTAGAAAAATCGAAATTTAAAAAATTTTGTAAAGGACAAAAAAAAAAAAACAAAGGAAAAGAACTTTTGAATAGTTAAAATTAGTCTTTAAAAATGCCAAATTATGTTAATAAGTTTTAATTACAATCATTCTATCCACTTGTAAGACCTGAAATCTGCCGGATTATTATGCAAAATCGGCTAAAAGCCGATTGTTATTCCGGTTGTTATTTGAGAATGTGTGTAATAACTGAGTTTAATTTGTACTAAATTAAAATTTTATTAAATTATTGAAAAACAAATTGTTTGAATGAATTTTCCAAATGTGAGATATTTTATTTGCTTCTTTTTTCAAAAAAAAAAGGAAAAAGTTTTTTTCCTACTTTATCTTTTTTTTTTCTTGTCAAGAAAGGAAAGCTAAGAAAGTGATCGTTATTCAGTGATCATTTGATATTTGAACTTTATTGACCTAATAATTTATAATGTTTATCAAAGACGTTATTATTATTATCATTAAGGGTCATGCATCGTTGAACTGAGCAGTTTGAATTGATGTTGACAGTAAGAGAGGTGGAAAATTTCAGGTAAGTAATTTGGGGACAGTATGGAAGTAATTGTAATTGACAGTAGTTAAACGGGAGTGACTAAAAATTTGGGTGATATTTGTATGAAGAGGACTATTCCAAATCAATTATTCATTTCAGTAGAAAGGAAACGAAGAATGTAAAGTAAAAAAAAAGTACCAGAAGTTATAATACAATCTTATATGGTGACATCAAGTTATATTATTATCTATCATCACTGATAATCATATTATTCATCTGTCACCACTGATAGTCATATTATTTATTTGTCATCACTGATAATCATATTATTAGTTAGCATCTATAAAAAAAAGAAAGGAAAAACCAGTTTTTCTTAACTTATTTTAATTTATTTGTTTTAAAATTTATCCAAGATTTCAATCTAACACAAATTCAAATTTCATTTCACTAATACAAAATACATGTAAGGAGTAAAATGAATTTTTAAAAAAAAAAGTGGACAAAAACGCCAAAGATGAAAATCGAATTGATTATGTTAATTTAAAAAAAAAAAAAATGAATCAAAAACGATGGTCAACTACAATTTAGCAATAAGTAAATGTAAGTAAAATTAACCAAGTAATACAAATAATATTCGTTGACATTAATGCAATTTTTGAAAATGGACAAAGATGCCAATGGGATAATTGGTGTGACAATGTTTTGTAAGGAAATGATGAGACTGTCATATGAAAAGAGGAAGAAATTTTTGAAAAGAACCATTGATATGTAATAAGATTTAGTTGAATTTCATAAATGGATACAATGAATTATATCATTCATTAGCCAATTCATCGGGTTTGTAATTTGAAAATGAATTGTGGCAATGAATGTACAACTACAAGGGGTGGATCCAAGGTACAACTACAAGGGGTGGATCTAGGGTGCAACTACAAGAAGGAGTGGATCTAGGGTACAAGAAGGAGTGAATCTAGAGTTGTCCGTTATATTTGGTTGTAATCTTTTCTTGGATGGTCATTAAGGAGAGATGCAAGAGGGGTAGAACGGGTGGGAAAATGAAGAAATAGGAATGAAGTGAAGGTGCAAGGTTGACAGCAAAGGGATGGTATCAAAAAGGATGGGTATTTTGAAAGGAAGGAATGAAGGAAGACACCGCCTCCATAAGAATTAGTAATTTTGGTTCGATTGAAAGTTGAAGTTACCCGTTACAGCAGCACCATTACCGCCACTAACTCATTTGTCCTTGATTTTCGAATAACACAAAATACTAAAATCTTAAAACTGTATCTAATAGGAATTCTTTCAATTCCTATCCTAAAATCTATATATATATATATATATATTATAGCTTAAATTTTAAAATAATATGACAAATGCGACGTCGAAATTCATTTAGTCTATTTTAGGATTTATGCAAATTTTATTATACCTCTAACAAATCCGCTTCTTCACTTATTATTATGCTAAATAACCAAAGAAGGATAAGAAGAGAAGAGAGAGAGAGATTACTTGTGATTTTCAGGGAGAGAGAGAGAGAGAGAGATTATTTGTGATTTTCAAGATGTACGCCTTACCAAAGACGCCTTTAGTATTTGTATTAATACATATTAGTTATGTGAAAGTAAAGAGAATATTTGAAAAATAACGCTTATCGAAATAATCAAACATCAATAACATTTGCTATACTTTGTTCTTTTTTTTTCTCTCTCTCTCTC